CGATGGTGTACGTGCCCAGGGCCGGCTCCGCAGCCAGCGGGAGGGACAGGTCCACGATGCCCTGCTGTGGGCTCACCTCTTGCCACTGCGCGATGCGGTTCCCGTTGGGGTCCTGCACGCAGGGACACGCGACGTCAGCACCGCAGGGACCCCCGCACCCCATGATGACACAGCCCATGGCCGCGTTGTGCCTCTCCTCTCCCAGCCTTGCTGCCCTCCCAAGCCCACAGTGCCCAGGAGCCTCCCCTCATCACCCAGACTGACCTTCAGGATCACGAGGGGCAGCTGCAAGGCAAAGAGAAGATGGTTAGAGGAGACATCCTAAGCCTTCCTTGGGGTCTCACCCTGGTGGGGACATCTATGGAGCCATGGATGGGGTACAGTGAGTTATCTGTGGGGTGCTGTGAACTTTCAGTTTGCTTTGGGGTTGGTTTTGAGCCTGAGGGTGGCTCCAGTTGGGATGAGCCGAGGGCACTGTCAAGCGTGGCATGGAGAGGTGGCATCTCCCAGTGCCTTCAACCGTTTCATCTGGTCCTGCATTTCCAGAGACGCTCTCATGGCTCTTCAAAACTGCAGGAGGACAGTGCAGAGGAGCTCTCTTGCCTCCCCACATCCCCAACCCTGCTCTCACCTTCCTATTGCTGGGAATGAAGTCTTTATCCAAAGAGACGATTCGAAATTTCACTGGAAAAAGCAAACAGGGATGCAGGAGTGAGTGAGCAGTGGGTTCATCCATGGGAAGAGGGGTTCCCCATGGGGAAGGTGGATGCTCCCAAGCAGTTGCACTGCCCAGGGACAGCTCTGGGGACCCAGAGCATCCCAAGATGGAGCCCTCCCATTTCCATGCAGCGCAGGAGCAAGGCTGAGCCTCCTGCACCCCTCTCCCACCAGGTCCTTCATCCCAGAGCAGGGTGGTCCATCCTGCCCCCCACACCTTGCTGTCCAGGCTTGTAGACAGCCTTGTCTGTCTGAATGAAGATCCCAGGCTCCAGGGCTTTCAGCATCACCTTCCTCTTCTGGGAGACGTCCAGGGCATCTCCCTGGATTGAGACGTGCAGGTCGACGATTTCCTCCTTCCCTTTGGCAGGGACTGGAGCCTTCCAGGGGAAACACCAGACACCGGGTGAGGACCAGGGACACACCATGGCCAGGATGCTCTGCTCACTCCAAGTCACCTTGCCCACAGGGACACCTTCCCCAAGCCAGGGGCTGGGAAAAAATCCCCCCCAACACCCTGCCCGTGTCTACATGTCTGCTACTGGGGGGTTATTTTGGGGTGTCTGGGGCATCCCCCTGCACGCTCACAGCTGTCTGTGGGGTGACACTCACAGGGAAGGTGACGTTCAGGTACAGGTGAGGCTCCTGGACCTTCCTTTCAAGCAGAGTGATGTTTTCGGTCCCGCCTGCTCTCTCCAGCTGAATGGTCACCTGGACGGGCTCACGGAGGCCACTGAGATGGACCCACAGCATTGACGTGTAGGGGTGGTACATCACAGCTGGGGATGTGACCACGTAAATCCTGGCAAGGAGAAGTCCCAATCTGAGAGGCGTGGGGATGAGGCAGACCACAGCACAGACCCCACAGAGGCTTTGAATTGCTCCTGGGCACACAGAAACCTGCACCAGGTTGGCAAGGACACCTTCCCCAGCCTCCCCGCTCTGCTTCTGGGATCCCCTTGACCTCTTGTCTCAGCACAGCAAAGGCTCTGCTCACAGATGGGCAGCACCTACAATGAACCATCCCCAGCAGCCCCTGGGAGCCAAATCCTTGATGCTCATGGGCAGGGACAGCCCCCCACCCCGAGCAGTTCCACCTTGGCCATCAACCACACACATGGGGAGGATCATCTCCCACTACGTGCTCCCAAGAAGCCAAAACTGAGCACCCTCCCACCAGGCATGGACAGACAGACAGACACGAAGAGGGCTTACGGTGCTGCGGACGCCCCAGCAACGAGGTGCAGGATGAGGAGCAGCAGGACGGGCAGGGCAGATTGGGACCTCATGCCTATAGGATGTCGAGGATGGCCACAGCCTCCTTCTCCAGGGGTTGGGCCGCTGTAGACCCGCGTCTGCTCTAATGCAGGCTGTGGAGTGAGGTCTTTGCTGCTTATCCAGCGAGCAAACAAGGGTTGACAGAGGGATCCGGGATGGACTTGCAGATATAGCCAAGGCAATATTTACCATCTGCCCACAGCTTCCAGGGTTCAAGGCTCTTGGTGGATTGTTTGCAATGTGAGAGAAGGTTCCCATAGGTTGCAGAGGTTCTAAACCAGGGGGCAGGACCCAGCTACACACTGGTTTGCTGGGAAGTGATGGCAGGCGGGAGTGGGAATGAGTTCCTCAAATGAAAGTAGGCAGGACTTCATGAGAACCTTCATTTCGGGTATTTCAAACTTTGCCATGGCCTGATTGCACATCTCAGGCTGTCTTTTTGCCCAGTTTCCCCCAGTTTCATCAAATCAGTTACGTGCACAGGAGCAGAACTGCACTGGGCTGTTGCACCAGTGCCACCCCCTCTGGTAGCCAGACATCAGCTGGGCTGAGCTGCCTCTTTCTGTCCCGGTGGGAATTTAGGGAGGTTAAGGCATGATAGCCACACAGTGTCCTGAGTGCATCCCCTGCTCTGGGGTTTTGCAGTCCCTTTCCCTTTGGGGACATGGGGAGGTGGAGGCAGTGCTGCGGGATGCTCAGCTCCCATCCCTTTTGCCCCAGCATCGCCTCAGCTTCTGCACCTCCCCGGGCATCGCAGTGATGCTGCCCCGCCATCAGCCCAGGATGCTGGGAAACAACACTGCTGGGGAGGGGAAAATTCTGGAAAAAATTGGAATCTTGAAAGTCCTTCCACCTGCTGGGGTGGAAATCTTGAAAACGGGGCAGTGTGGGCTGTGAGAAGCATCTTCTGCTCTTGGGGAGAAGAAAGAGTCCATGAGGGGAGCAAGTGCTTTGCCTGTGTGTGGGTAGAAGAGCACAGAGGGGAGGAGCACCGTGTAGTGCCTGAGGGGACACCTGGGTAGTGGGGGAGAGCAGGGACCCCCTGCCAAATCCCAGTGCTCCCCTCCATTCCAGTCTCTCAATGCAGTGGGCACTTGGGTTTCGTCCAGTCCTGGGTGCTCTCTGCAGGGCTGTGCCCCCCAGCCTCCACCCCATGTCTTGGCCAGGTCAAAGACCAGAGGAGACCCCCCCCTTTGCCTAAACCCCTTGGGAGAGAGCCGAGGGGTCAATGTGCGGAGGGAAGAAAGGCTCTGCTCACCCCCTGGCTCATGTGTGAGGTTGCACCTACCCCACAGCCACCCAGAGACACCAACCCCAGGCGCAAAGTCCTCTATGGGGACAACCGCCTCCCCAAGCATTTCCACCCCAACCAGCAACCACAGTCACAGCGAGGGTTGTCACACCGCTGCGACCAACAACCCACGAACAGGGGGACACAGGGAGGGCTTATGGCTTCACAGGTGCTCCAGCTGTGAGATACAGGATGCACAGCAACAGGCAGGGTTGCTCAAAGCCCTCAGACTTGGAGGACCAGTGGAATGGATGGTCCTGGAGCTCCCATGCTGGTTCTTCTTCCTCTCCTCAAGCTTTCACATCCCCGCTGGCAGCAAACCCAAGCCAGCCAGGCCTCTGGCTGGAACCCAGCCATCCAGCTAGGACAATGTTTAACCACCCAACCCAAGCTTTGCTGGGTTCAAGGCTCTGAGCCGAGCCACGCCGATGGTGCTGGGACTGCCAAGCCAGCTCGGAGTAAGCTGCACATAGGGAGCCACGGAAGGAGGGAAGGGAATGAAGGGGCTTTCTGGGAAATGAGATCCTGCGTGCACGTGCTGCCCTTGACCATCTCCACATGGCAGTTCCTGGTCTGCTGACCTGTTAACTCATGGGAAACCTCTTTGCTGGTGTTTCTGCCCAGTGGTGTCTGCGTGGACAGTTTCCACGGATTTGCGCAATTTCCTCCGTCACGAGCCAGCCGCTCCCGAGGGCAGGAATGATGCCGAACCAGAGCGCTGCACCCTTGTTTGGCCACAATTTGCAGATCTCGTCTGAAGATGGGAGGCGAAGCCTGCCCACCCTGTTCCCAGGACTGGGGACAGTCACACACTGCGCTTCTCCCTGCCCTGTGGTCACTCTGGGGTGGCTGGGACAGGAGCTGTTTGGCAGGGAAGGAGCCAGCAAATGCCCAAAGCCCTGTCTGGCTGCAGTGAACAGGCCCAGGGAGATGGTATCTGGGTCTGGTCTCCCCTGCTCCAGATGGGTATAAGCCAGACACCTCTGCCCACTCCTCCTGTGCACTTACTGCTCATCCCTATAGCAGGGAAAGGTCCATCCTGGTGTAACTGTCACCCTGCCACATGCTCCTCACACCACCCAGCACTGTACCCCATGGAGAAGCCATGGTGTCCTTAAGGATGCTCTACATGCAATGATCCGGGCATCCCACATGGCCACAAGGAGACGGATCCCCCTCTTCACATTCCCCTCAGCACCTGAGGCTCAGGCAGGACACTGCACACACGTCACCGGGTATGGACCCTTTAATCTCGCATCCTCATCTCGTAGCTCAACATCAAGAATGCTTTTTGCATGTAGATGCATATCCCCTGGTGCTCCTGCCCACCTCCCCAGCCACACACTGCGGTCTGGACCCCTCCTCAAAGGCGGCTGCATCTGAACGGCGCTGCCAGCTTGCAGGAGCCTCTGGAAGAAGCAACCCAGCAAGCCCATGGTTGAACCCCACTGCAAGGATGGAAAATGGTGCAGAGAACCCCCGGCCCTGCCTGGGGCATCTCTCCCTTTACCCTGCACACCGGCAGCAGCCATCCTGCCAAACAGGGCCACAGCCCCAGGTTTGGGGAAGATGGGCAACTCCCTGGGGAGGGGATGCACAGTCACAGCAAGGGGTTTCTGGGGGCATCTTGCACTGGTTTGGGGGTGCTGCTGGGCTCCCCCCATCATGCATTGCTCTGCTTCTCGTTGCACCATCCTGCTCTTGCAGTGGCACATTTGTGAGGGACGAGCGGACAGCATGGCCCAGCCTCTGGCTGTGCCACCTCCCTTACGTCCCCGAGGCGCTCAGTCCCTCTGCCTAATTGCTGGTCCCCGTTGTGTCCTGTTCCCGCTGCGGGCTGCCCGGCCCCCTGCCAGCCCCAGCACTGCGCGGGAGCAGGGTCTGCTCAGCGTGCTGGTCCTCACAGCAAACTGCAGACATCTCAGCGAAGGCATCAACCATGGTCTGTCGGACCATCTCTGTCAGTTCAGGGACATCTTTTGGGCTCAGGCCTTGGGTTTCTACCCTGGGGAGAACTCGAATGGTGCACGTCCCTGGAATCACAGAATCACAGGATATGAGGAGTTGGAAGGGCCCTTGGAAAGCTCCCCCAGTGCAACCCCTGCCAGAGCAGGATCACCAGAGCAGTCACATAGGAACATGGCCAGGGCTTTGGGTGTCTGCAGAGAAGGAGACTCCACAACCTCTCTGGGCAGCCTGGGCCATGCTCTGTCACCCTGTTAGCCAAACCCGCCAGGAACCAGGTCTTCCCACCAGAATCCTCTACCACCAGCTGCCTCCTCACGGCTTCATGTCCCACAGAGAGACCTCCAAGCCCTGTGTGCCTCATCCCCACTGCCAGCCCTGCCTTCTGGCAATGTCCTTCTTGTCCATCACTTACCAGTGGTGAATTTCTTATCCTTGGAGCTGTAGAAGTCCCGGTATGGGGAGATCACGATGGGGAAAATGGGAACCTGTAGGAAATGGAGGGTCAGGGGTGTCCTCCATGCAGACCTCCTCCCCAGGTAGGACTCCAGCTCCTGCTGTGCCCCAGGCTTCAGCAGGTCCCCATCCCCTCCCTGAGTCCTGCACAGTGGGGTGCCTGTCCCTGGGGACTGCAGACCCCAAAAGACCCTCATGTCCGCCATGCTGCTGCCCCAGGGTGTGAGCCCACCCTAGTCCATCAAGGGCAGGTGAATCATGGCCTTACCTGAGCCTGCACAGCCAAGTGGAAAGCCCCACGCTTGAAGGGCAGCATGGGTTTATCTGGGTTCCTGGTACCTTCGGGGTAAACCAGCACTCGGAGCTGCATGGGACAGGGAGAGAGGCTTAGTGGCCATGGTGGTGTTGGGTTGATGGTTGGACTTGATGATCTTAGAGGTCTCTTCCAACCTTCGTGAGCACGGAACCCAGCCAGGGCACCCTGGGACCTGCTGTGTCAGTCCTCACACCCCCTTGCCCCATCGGTGTTTGCTCCCTGACTCCCCCCTCTGCTGCCAGCCCCCTCCTCACATTTTCACGCCGCATGGTCCTGGCCGTCTGGGAGATGACATCGATTGCATCTTCTCTTCTGTGGCGGTCGATGAAGATGATGCCAGTGAGCCAGCAGGCCCACCCCACGGTGCCCAGGTACATGAGCTCCTTCTTGGCGATGGGCACGCAGCGGTCGGGAATGACCTCCACCATGCCTGGGGGGTGGATGGGAGAAGAAAGGATGGCACCCATGACCAACCAGCCCTGTGGCTGTAGTGACCTGGTGTCCCCTTCCACTGTCCCAACCCTCTCTCTGCAGCATGCCCATAGCCCTGAGCTCCTGTCCCACCAGCCCTTCTGCCCTATGCCACACTGCCCTGCACAAATCCTGGTGCTGGCCTCACTGGAACCCCCCCAGAATGAGCCTGGTCCACTCCTGCAGCACCTCAAGGGCTGCCCATGCAGCGATGAGCGCTTTTTTTCCTTGCACATACCCAGCAGGTCAAGGGAAGCTTGGTGGTTGCAAACTATCACATAGGGCCCCTCGGTGTTCAGATGCTCGGAGCCCTGCACCTGCAGCTTGATGCCATAGAAGTGTTTGAGGGGCAGGATCACGGCGCGCAGGACCCTAGGGCAGAGGAACACATGAGGAGCAGATCGACACAGAGAGGGGCTGCTTGACTTTTTTCCAGCCCTCCACCATCACTCAGCGAGCAAGAGGGGCCAGGCTAGATCTGGTCTGCATGAGCAAATGGAGCATCCTAAGGTAGACCTGGGTTCACAGTCTCAGGGATGCTTTTGCTTTTCTAAGCACATTTGTGACCTACATAGCTCAGAGCTGACCTTGTAACCATCACCAGGGTGAGACCAGCTCCTGTCTGAGTAATTGAAAGTCTGCATTGGAGCTGCTGATGGAGAAGAGCAGCCAGCAGAGCTGGTGGGAGGAAAAAAAACAAACAGGTGTTTTGGAGGTTTGATGTCCAGGTATGGTAGGAAAACAAGAAGAGATGGGATGGGACCAGATGGGATGGGGACAGAGGTAGAGATGGGATGGGGACAGAGATAGAGATAGAGATGGGATGGGGACAGAGATGGGATGGGATGGGATGGGATGAGATGGGATGGGATGGGATGGGATGGGGATGGGATGTCTGCAGCCAAGGTGCAAATCACCCCATCCCTATGAGGACAACTGCCTGTGACCTGGTGAACCTCGCCCCGAGGTTCCCCACATGCCGAGCTGGATCTCTGTGTGCAGACTGGGATGTAAACACCTTCAGGTACCTAAAGCCAGAGGAGCTGTACATGGATGAGCAGTGAAGACGGCCGTGCAGAGGAACCACAAACAGGTCTACAGGGATGCAGGTATCTCCAGGGACTGTCCCTGCAGCCAAAGGGACCACCAAGCTTGGTGCTGCAGGTGGAAGGGGAAGAAAGCAGGGCAGGGAAAGCCCACTCAGCTTCATTCATCAGAGGAAATCACAAATCACAGCTTCAGTGGGCCTGCAGCGTCAGGAAGAGATGGAGGTTTCATCTGTGCAGAGGGAAGGGGGATCAAAGGCAGTGTCACCATCCAGGGAGGGTTGGGCAGGAAAGGTGACATGAGGACAGCAGTGCTGATGAAAGGTGCCGCTCAGTATGAGAGTAACGAAAGGAATGGAGGGAGGATGGAGCAACGGGAATTGCAGCGCCCACAACGGAGGCAAAAACCTGGTACGCTTCCAGTATCGAATGGGGCACTCTCCAGCCCACAGCATGGAAAGCACCCATGGCAGGGACCACACATCTGGCAGCACTTGGTGCCAGAGAGCCCACAGGGGACAGGACAGTCAGCACCAGGTAGGGATGAGAAGTTTGGGAGGAGGCAGCAGAGGCAGGCACTTGGGAGAAGGAGGCACGATGCTTAGTGAGCCCGTTGTGCCAGGGGACCACGCATCCCTTGGGAGGTACAGACTTGGACATCCTTGTGCCTGCAGAGGAGCAAAACCCTTGTAGCAATGCCCCAGAGGCAGAACTAATGACAGGAACGTGCTCCAAGCTGGAGGCTTTGTGGTTCTGAGGAGATGGAGCTGCTGCGGTGCAGGGCGGCTTTGAGGTGTTGGTGGGACAAGATAAGGCAACGTGAGTCACTGCTTCATCATGCTGAGTATTTCCACTGAGCCAGAAGCGTTTGCGCCAGGGCTTGGAGCACCTCTGGACGTGTGCGTACAGCATTTCTGCACAGAGAGGATGAAGGAGAGAAGCTGCACAAGGGGACTGATAACATCAAGCCTCTCTGACCGCAGTCCTGCCAAGGCCCGAAATCCGTCAGCACAAACATGCGATGGCTCGAGCTCAGCAAATACCACAGGCTCAGACATTTTTCACTCTGACATAATTATATACCTTCTGGTATGCTACCATGCCCAGGAATCCAGCAACAAGATTGCGACAGCCTTGAAAGCGCCCAGGCCTCCCTCTCGTGTTGCACAGCAGTGTTATCTCAGCTGCCACCACCCCTGCGTGCGGCTCAGGGCTCATGACTCGCCGGGACATGACTGTGCCATGCCTGACAGCTGATGGTACCAAGATATCCCCAAACCACGCTGCTAAAGCACAGTCCTTGAAGCTCCCGCTGAGCGACACCCAATGATGGGTGTGCATTTGCATCCTGCCAATGACTGTACCTCCAATCTCTGCCGAATTCCCCCTATCACCCACCCAAGTGTTGATCCCAATGTTGCAGTGGCCAAGAATGACCCCTGTCACACTACTTCATGCTGGGGACCTCTAGTCCCAGCCCATCACAGTGTAACCCTCCCCTGGGCATGGCCAGCACCTCTTCACCACACCACAAGATGCAGATGCACCCTTCAATGCCACATGGACACGACCAAAGCCCTCGCTGTTGGCTCCAGGACTCAACCGTAATGCGGCATGCCCAGGGCAGGAGAGAGCATGCGTCCACAAGACCACGAGCTCCTCCAACACAGCCAAATCCCAGCCGTCTCCATACCTGAAGCACATCCCCAGGCCGTACTCACTTCATATTCTCCACAGAACGTCCCCGAAGAGCCACGAAGGGGGACAGTACGGTGGCCATGGTAACAATCCAGCAGTTGAAGAAGGCTACCTTGCAGAAGTAGCGGAAGGTGGCATTGTACCAGTAGAGCAGCACTGCCAAGGCGACGAGGAGCAGCAGCCCATGGAGCAGGACCACATCCATCGCAATGCCCTGGCGGGAGGATGCTGCGGAGCTCAGCCCGCGTCCCCAGGATCAAGGCGAGTGAAGCAGGGGATGCCGAGGAGTGTGGCACATGAATCAGGTGTATCAGCAGATCAGCTTGTGGGCGTTTAGGGCTGGCCCAGGGGAAGGTGGTGTGAGTTTCTCACCCCAAGCAGAGGCTTGAGGATGGACTGGCTCAGACTGGAGGCGAGCTACCCCAGCAAGGATGGAGAGCGATGGTGAGTCAACGCCGGGGACCCTGAGTCACCCCAGGAGTCACTGCTGATAAGTGCCCTCCTGGGTTGCTAAAGCCATTGCAGTGCCTCCAACAACTCGACCAGCTCTGCTACCCACAAAAGAGTCCATGCTTTGGGCATCACTCTTGGCCATGGGGACCCCCAACCCTGGGAAAGGGGGACCTCAGCCAGTGGGGACAGCAGGAACTGGCTCTTGTCTGTGCCCATCACCTCAGCAAGGCTGGGCACAATTCCCTGTTGGCATCGTGGTCAATTCCTGAACCTCACCCTGTGGAGTATCAAACTGTTGGAAAATACCTCCCTGCTGCTCCCTGCCTGGGTCTGCAGCAGCCAAATGGAGCCAGGGCTCCCCATCTCCCTGCTCTACGCAATTTGGGCTGCAGGAGCCCCCCTGCCCTTCCCTCCCCAAGGCCCCACAGGGGTCTGAGCGCCACCGCCCCCCTGCTCCCACCCTGGGCTGAAGGAGACACCAGCCCTTGTCCCAGTTGGCAGCCAAGTGCGTTGCGTTAGGTGTTTACATAGGTGCAATTAGCAGGCACAGGTCTGTAATTAGGCTTTGCTTCCGCTCTCTTGCTTTTGCAGTGGGCACACAGGATCCAGGCCGGCTCTGGGTTGTTCTGCAGAAACTCTGGTTGCTGTCATCGCAGAGATAGCTGTGGTCTGGTCTCAGCCACCGACGGCATCTCCCAGCCCCCTGCTCCATGTCCTGCCAGGATCCCCATGCTCACCCGTGCCCCATCCCCACCAGGACCGAGCTGCAGGCCAGACCCAGCCAGGAGAATCCCATGAACACCGACCACCAGCAGCTCCCCACATTGCCCCAGTACCCCCAGTAGGCACTGGTATAGCCCCCAGCAGGTGCAAGAGGCTCACGTGTCCCCTCCCCTCACCCCCACAGCTTGGAGGGAGCCCTGCGCTCCGGCACCAAGCCAGCAGGCTGGGTAATTACAGAGGCTTAATTAGTGACAGCAGGCCGCTTTCTTAACAAAGCAAATTAATTACAGGCGATGTGCTGCGTGGAGATCTGAAGGGACTAATGAAGACCAGGGACCACCTGGGCTGGCATTGCCCACTCCACCACCCATGGGGACACAGGGGCTTGGCAGAGACGCCTTGTCCAGCCAGGACTGGGATGTCACCACTGACCTGCTGTGGACAGACCCTCTGCAAGGGATGGAGATAAAGCCTGTTCTTGTTTGGGGCCGTGCTGTCACCTGCGTTTGGTGACAGGCTTTGTGACAGCCCCTGCATTGGGGTGGCTCAGGGGTAGGAAGCCAATGTGCCCAGCAAAATGCACACAGTGCATCGCCACCCCAAAACTAAGGGTATCATGGAGCACCCACTTTCAGCACCTGCAGGATCTGGGTTCAAGGGCTGGGACATGGAGAAGAAACCATCCTGGGCAGCCCAGGGCTCACAGCCTCTCCTCCACCACGTCGTAGTACTCTGTAAGAGAAAAGGGGATCAGGAGGAGGTTGGATCCCATGGATGGAGGCAGTGCAGAGGGCTCAGCTCTTGGCCAGGGGCTGCTGGACTCATGAGGAGGTCGATGCACACTTAAGGGCAAGATGTCCCCCATTAAGGGACAAGGGGAGGATGTGTCCTTACCTGATGAAGGCAGGACGCTGGGTCCCACAGTCCCTGTGGCGCTGGGGGGCGGAGGAGGTGGCACCGCGCTGCAGGAGAGGAGCAAGGACAGACGTAAGCGCTGGCCTGGTGCTGTCCCTTGTGTCCCAGCTCGGGCTGGGGGTCCTGTTACGCCAGGGGCTATGGGGACACCACGCCGGGCAGCACAAAGCAGCACCCTCGTTACTCACACCTCCTCATCCTCAGCTAATGAGCCTGTCCCCAGGTGCCGCACGGCCGCCGGCCCCAAATCCTGCACTGGGACTGGCCATGCCAGGACGGGAGCAGGACCGGGGTAGGGAATGTAGTGATGGTGGAAAACCACAGCCTCCTCTTCCTCTTCCGTCTGCAAAGGCATCGCCATCTCCTGCAGGGAAGGACAAAAGGCAGGGCCATGCCTGGGCGCTGCTCCCCAAAGCAGGAGGGGTCCCACAGAGCCACGCTCCACATCCCACACAAAGCCCCACGGTCGGTCAGCGTGGGAACCTGGCTTCTGGGGACACAGGGATGGGGGCAGCCCCACAGATGGGAGCTCAAAACGCTGCTGGGGTGAGCCTGTTTAATCCTGCTGCTGAGATGAGACAGGCAGGGTCCAGTCTTGGCCAGTGGGTGGACTGGTGGGCACTGGGCGGGCAGCGAGGGAGGGTGCGTGCCTACAGATGCCAGTTGGCAGCAAGCAAGGCAGCTGCCCGCAGCCCAGCAATCACCCCCGCCAAGAAAGCAGCATTTGTTTCCCCCCATGGAGATGAGATGTTTGATGTGATTTTGGTTTGAGATGGACTTTTAAAATTAAAGCCTTTGCAGAGCCATACCGCCCAATGAGCAGTGCTCGGCCTTGCTGCTCCTGGCTCTTCCCAGATGAGTTAAATCGCCCCCAAGCAGCCTGGATGCAATCGGTGCTGGCAGAGCTGGAGGTCAAACCAGCACAAAGGGTCCCAAAACCCCAAAAGCCTGGAGTGAGATGGGTTGAGACCACTCAGCTTCTGCACCCAGAGGGGTCTCACGCTGTGCCAAAGTGGGACACGAGCACCCCGCTCTCCTGAGCAGCTCTGGAAAGGTCTCTCTGCCCACCTTTTTGGTCCTCCTTAGTCCTATGGTCCCTTTGCCCATCCAGCACCCCTGACTCTTACCTGGGCAGCAGCTGGGGATGGCCCGAACCCAAAAGACGTCAGTGCCGACACAACCAGGCTGTTCATCACCACCTGGTGCATTTGGGAGTTCTGAATCATCATCAGCTCGATTAAATCTGCCGAGAGCAAGGGGCTCTGCGTCAGAGAGAGATCAGAGCAAGGGCACGAGGGGCACGGCCTGGGATGGGGTGGCACCAAGGCTCATCCCTGTGCCCATGTGGTGGGAGCTATGCCAAACCCTCCTATGTCCCAATCCAGAAGGCCCATGTGGCACTTAAAAATTATTTTGCTTGGATAAAGCTGTAAAATAGCCATGTTTCAGCCTTTTCTTATTTGCAAATGCGATTAAACATCTGGTCTGGCTTGCTGAAGGCTGCTCACAAAAGGTGATTAGCGGTGCTGGAGGCAGCAGCCTTTCCGCCCATGCGGAGGGGAATTGCTGCGGTCCTGGCAGCTTGGCAAGGCTCTGTCCTGGGGGTGGCACCACATGGGGACCACGCCAGGGTCAGCTCTGCTTTGCATCACATTGTGCACGGGGGAGCTCAGAGACTCCCCAAGGATGCAGGAGCTGGGGCTGGACCACAGGGGCTGATCCCATCTGCATTCCCCGGAGCGAGCACCTATGGAGCTGCATCCAGTGGGAAAAAAAGGGTTTGGGCATCCCTGCGTCCCACATGGCAGATCCCAAAATGCATTCATGGCTGCAGGGATGGGCTCCCAGGGCACCCATGAGGCACCAAACCCTCCCGCATTGCAGCACAGCCCAGGAGGTGGCCAGATCCATTGAACCAGGAGGAGGAAGGGTGCAAAGGGATGGGGGGGCTCTTCATGGATCCCACCCATCCCATGGGGAAGGCAGCCACCCCCCCACCGCAGGGTGCGAGGGACCAGGCTGGGGTCTCTGTTTTCTTTTCACGCCAATTTTGAGCGTGCTCTTTACCCTCATTTTTTTAAAGACAGCTCAATCTTCACCTTTGCTCATGGCATGGGGACCACAAGCCCCCCCTGCCTCTGTTACCTGCACCCCCAGCCCAAATTGCTGCCTCCTGGGTTGCACAAGGCTGGGTGAAGCCCCTATAACCAGTCGGTCTTTCCTCCTCCCTGCTGCATGCCCTGAGCTCTGGGGGTGGCACATGTCCCCCTCCAGTCCCACCTTGCATGGCCAAGGAGACCCCATCACCCTGGCTTTTCCTGGTGATGCTCCCTGTGCCCATGTGGATTTGAAAAACCAGCCCCAAACCATTCCCTGGGATCATCCCAGTGTGGCCAAAGCCAGCCCAGACATCAAGGCTGCTAAAACCACCAAAAATCACATCCCCTGAGGCAAAGCAGCCATCCAAGCACGATGTGGCTGACCCTGGGAGGCTGCGGAGCCCCTTTGCCTGCCCCTCATCCCGAAAAGACCGGGGAAAACAACGAGGGTGGAGTTAGGCTGGGTTTAACTGTGACCTCTATGATGTCTACCATCACGCACCTCCCCGGATCTGTGGGGGTCCGGCAGAGGGGGCCGGGGCGGCCACGGTCCCGGGAAGCTGCTGGAGGATCAGCACCGGCTGCTGGGGCACCCCATGGGGCGATCGCTGGGGTCGGAGCTGAAAGGCAGGAGAGGAAGGGAAGACCGCAGTGATCTCCCGCTTTCGGTTTAATTGAGTTAAAACTGTTCGTGTGGCAGCCAGGGACGAGAGGGGAGAGGAGGTGCCGGGCGGGGGGAGGGGTCCTATAGGAGGGGGTGGCTGGCACCGACCCCCGTCTCTCCAGGGGTGCACCCTGCAAGCCTGGGGGGACCGCACGCCTGGCGAGTCCCCACCCCTGCGGACACATCCACCTGCAGGACGTGGGGTCTGAGGCGTTTTGCAGAGAGCCCCATCGCAGAGCAGCATCACCACCTCAGTGCCCACCCAATCCCCGACCTCAGCCCCTGTCTCCT